GAATTTAATGATTATACTAATTATATTTTAGATTTTTTATATTTAAAATGAGATGTTTATTCTGTATTTGATTGTGTTTATCTRCAGTTAGTTACACGAATTCAGATATGTGACGAAATCGGATAGGGATGAAATCGTTTAAGGATGAACGGGTTTGAGAGTTTTTAAGAGTTTTAGCCAAATGCTTTATAAGATAGTATAGATATGGTCCCCTTCTTTTATTAACCAAACAATTAGTATTAACTTTGTTAACTGTGGTATTTTTGTCTTTTTTATATATTGATACTACATTTTTTAATTATCACGTTCACTTAATTAATACAATTCTTAATTATCTTATTCACTTGATTATTACATTCCTTAATTATTTCATTCACTTGATTGTTTCACCTATGAAATTTCTAATGTCATCTATGAACTTTAAATAAAAATCATTGTTTCACTTTTTGGTTCACCTATAAACTTTGAGTATCTGGTTTTATCTATGAAATTTATACAAAAAACACTATCTTACTTTCTGATTTTATCTTTAAACAAAAATAACTTAAATATTATTATTGATTCTTTTCCAAAAGTAAATATGAATATCTTCCAAAATTAAAAAGCATTAAATAATATTATTGAATATCTTTTAAAAATAAAATATGATTATCTTCCAAAAATAAAACAATTTGTTTCAAAAATACCCTTCATTTAATATAATTTAATTTGTCTTATTTTTTATTAGATTATAACCTCTTATTAATCATAACCATTAATAAAAGGCTTAGATCGGTTAACAAAGTCAATACTGTTTACTTGGTTAACAAATAATTACACCTATATATATGTATGTGTATATAGACTTGGGATCATGTGAGACCAGCCTGTTTTCATGAGACCTTTTTACACTTGAAACTTCACAGCAAAATGCTAGGAAGGTGACTTTTTTAACCTTCACAGTGTTTTTGCTGTAAATGTTCGACTTTTTTTAACCTTCACAGTGTTTTTGCTGTGAAGTTTCAAATGTAAAGATGTGGTCTCATGGATCTCACGAAAACAGGTTGGTCTCACGTGAACCCAACCCTGTGTGTGTGTGTGTGTATATATATATATATATATATATATATTATTCAAGAGAGAACTGAGTTGTTTGTGGTAACTGTGAGAACCAATATTAACCACAAATCAATAGATAAATTAGGAAATTTATAAATTTGGTAATTTTAAATTAAAATCTTAATGCAAGGATATTTTTGGTATTTTAAAAC